TGCTGTGGCTCAAGTGATAAAAGCGCTAGCCTTGAGCTGAAGAGCTGAGGGACAGCGCCCAGGACCAGAGTTCAGCCCACATGACCGGATTCCAAAAAAAAAAAAAAAAAATGGTGGACATACTGGGCGTCAGTGGATAATGCCTGTCATCATAACTCCTCAGGAGGCTGAGATCTGAGGATCATGGTTCAAAGCCAGCCTGGGCAGTAAAGTCTGTGAGACTCTTATCTCCAATTAACCACCAGAAAACTGGAAGTGGCACTGTGGCTCAAGTGGTAGCGCACTTGCCTTGAGCTGAAGAGCAGAGAGACAGCGACCAGGCCCAGAGTTCAAGCCCCCACAACCGACAAAAAAAAAAAAAACAAAAACAAAACAGAGGACATAACACATGAGAGATAACAAATGGTCCATCATGGCACTTCTTCCCATAATGCCCTGGGTTCCCATTCAACCAGTGAAAAGAACTGGGACAGTACATACACAGTACATACACATCAAGCAATCAGCAAGAAGCCCCGAGGAGGTGGTGGGAGATGAGAGGAGCCTGTACTGTAATACCCTCTTCCAAGAGGATTCTGTTGGACTCCCAGCTCTAAGACCCCTCTCTATAGAGTCTATACACTACATTTTACTTTTTATTTTTGCTAGTACTTGAACTCTGGGCCTGGGCTCTATCTCTAAGCTTTTGTGCTCAAGACTAGTGCTCTACCACTTGAGCCACAGCTCTATTTCCAGATTTTTCTGTGATTAATTGAAGATAAAAGTCTCCTGGCTGGACAAAGGTGGCTCACACCTATAATCCTAGTTACTAAGGAGGCTGAGATCTGAGGATGGTGGTTCAAAGCCAGCCTGAGCAGCAAAGTCTGTGAGACTCTTATCTCCATTTAACCACCAGAAAGCTGGAAGTGGCTCAAGTAGCAGAGTGCTAGCCCTGAGTGAAGTTGTTCAGGGACAGTACCCATACCCTGAGTTCAAGCCACACGACCAACCAAAAAAAAAAAAAGTTTCCTGCACTTTCCTGCCCTGGGTCAAACCATAATCCTCAGATCTCAGCCCTTTGAGTAGCTAGGATTATAGGTGTAAGCCACAGGTGTTTGGCTGTATACTACATCTGATTTCAAATACACTTCCTCTGGCTGCTTTAAGCATTTTCTTGCCTTTTAATTCTTTAATCAGCACAGAAACAAACCCAGGCCCCTGCGATGGAATCTGAGTGATGGGTGGGAGGATGAAGGAGGTGGTGATCTAGTTATCTGCAGGTGGATGTGGAAGCTTCTCAGTCACTCTTCAGGTTGCTTGCAACTAAGGATGAAGAAGAATGTGAAGTAAGGGCTCCAGCCCAGCCAACTTGGAATGGGGAGCTGGAGGAAAATAAAGATCTATGGTAGGAATTTTGCCCACAGGTTCTTGTTTCTGCTTTTGAAATGTGTTTTTTAAAAGTCAACACACCTATTTCATACACACGTTTTATTTAGACATATCTATTTTACACATCTCACAATCCAACTTCAGTGGACCTTTCTACCCATAGGCTCTACATCTGTAGATTCAACTACCATGAACCCAAAGTATCAGGAAAAAATATATTACATCTGGACTAAACATATATAGTTCTTCTCTTGATATGATTCCATAAAAGAAGATGACATTACTATGAATTTTTGAACATTTATATGCATTCTGTGAGAAGTGGGATGATTTAGAGTATACAGGAGGAGGTATATAAATGAATAGTGCACAATTCATAAAGGGATATCTACAGGTTATGCTGTGGGAGCTTTGGAAACCAGGGAAGACTCTGCCAAAATGTAATAGAGATTTGCTGAGAGCAAAGATCTTGTCCAGAAATCTCAAATTCCAGTGTGGCCATAACAAAAGAAGGGTTGGAGTTGGGGTCTAAAAACCTGAATTCATTAGCAAGTAGCTCACATGAGTCTGGAGAAGCAGCTCTTGATTCGCATGTCCACTTTGTAACAACTCACCTTAGTCTCTTCCAAAGTTAGTATGCAAAAAAAATTAGCATTCAATCAAGTTAAAATTTTGATTGTAGCTACACATGAGGTAGAGATGGAAGGACTGTGGTCTGAGGTTAGGCCAAGTGAACAAAAGTCTTCAATTCAAAACACAATCCAAACATGATAGCACACATTTGCAATCCTAGCTATAAAGGAGGTGTTTGTAGAAATATTCAAATCCAGCCCCAGGGGGAAAATTGATTAAACACAAAATAAAGAATATGCTTTTGCTATCTCTTGTAATTTTTAATGTGTTGTTACACTCCTGAATTCACTTTGGAACTCTTTGCAATGATTTTGCCTTTTTGTTTGGAAAGTTCTGGGGTCTGTTAGGATTCCAGTAATTTCTAGTGGGAAAGAACGAAGGATCTAGAGATGGAAAAAAAAGCTTGCTCATGGGCTGGGAAGGTGGCTCAGTGGAAGAATGCTTGCCTTGCATGCCTGAGGCCCTGAGTTCAATTCCTCAGCACCACATAAGCAAAAAGAAAAAAGCCGGAAGTGGCGCTGTGGCTCAAGTGGTAGAGTACTAGCCTTGAGCTGAAGAGCTGAGGGACAGCGCCCAAGCCCAGAGTTCAGGCCCCACGACTGGACCCCCCCCAAAAAAAAAAAGCTTGCTCACTAATTTCTTCCTCAGGTAGTAAGTCTTTTAATATTGCCTGTCTTAGCATCCTTCAGAGAAGCTTTTACTACCTTAGTGGTTGGTGCTCAGTAGAATGTACTAACCAGATTTTCAAATTGTGGCAGGGTGACCTGCATGTGGCATTTTCACTTCTGCTCAGGTGCGTTCATCTCTAACCGGAATTCTACTGATGGGTGAAATCTTTGCAAACTACTCTTACCTTCAGTGCTGCCAGCAGAGGTTTGAGCTGATTTCCCAGATCCTGAAAAAAAACAAGGGTAGAAGGGAAATATTAGATATAGATCGAGATGTTGAGATGTTATTTTCTTACATGGTTCCCAAGGATACCAACTCAAAAGAAACTGGACAAGGCAAAGTTTACATTTGCAGAAAAGCACACCACCAGCCAAAACATCTAGCAAGCAAGCACACACACCAGGCAGGCTGCCCCCTTTTTATCACTAACCCCGAAGGCCCTGCCCCTCTGCTCACATTGGCTGAGCTCAGGTTCACAATCTGCAGAAGGATGTGATTTAATTCACAGGATGTAACAAACATTCAAGGAACTTCTAACAGGATGTCTTAAGTGTAGCAGGAAAAGGATGTAACTGAAATGTAATTAACAAAGCCCAAGCACCTGGCCAAAGCAGGAACCTTTCAGAAAAACAATTCTTACAAGATTAACAGAAAAGAAACAAATTATTTTCATAGAAAAGATGCTTTTCTCAATTCCCCATTCCTGCTCAGTCCCCATTCCTGCTCTGCTCAGTCCTGTGCAATCTACATCAAAAGAAAGATAACCATTTCTATTTTTCAACAGTTATTTTCAGCACTTGTAAAGGAACTAAGAGACCCAAATGACTTAATGTTTCGCATAATCAACTTTGTCTAGTCACCTAGCAAGCTTCAATTTCATCACAAGTATTTTATTATGTGCAATAAAAATAATCACGAGTTTGTTTGCTGTTGTGAACTGACCATTTGGCCTTGAGAAGCATAATGAAGTCAATTGTGTGAGTCACTTTTCATCACACAGAAGAAAATTAATCTTACCTTTGTCATCAAAATCTTTATATCTCCATAAAGTAAAACGGTTCAATGTAAATTGTTCTACTTAGCATCTTTCTCATGTGTCTTATTAACAGTATCTTCCATGGCTTAAGGATACTGTCAGAGGGCTGGGAAGGTGGCTTAGTGGTAGAGTGCTTACTTTGTATGCATGAAGCCCTGGGTTCGATTCCTCAGTACCACATAAACACAAAAAGTCAGAAGTGGTGCTGTAACTCAAGTGGTAGCGTGTTAGCCTTGAGCAAAAGCTTCAGGGACAGCACCCAGGTCCAAAGTCAAAGCTCCAGGACTGACAAAAAAAAAAAGTCTTCCCAGACTTTGGGTTGGGAAGGTGGCTCAATGGTAGAATGCTTGCCTAGCATGAACGTGGCCCTGGGTTTGATTCCTCAGCACCACATATGCAGAAAAAGCTTGGAAATGGCGCTGTGGCTCAAATAGTAGAGTGCTAGCCTTGAGCTAAGAATACTGTCAGATTTTTGGCAAATTAACTCTCTTCCAAGATACCTTCATTATTACTATTATTTTAATGGGTAAAATTACTAACCTCAGCGTTTTTGCAGCTCTAAAGTAATAGATTGACTTTTATCATAGTTCTTCTGAGTATAATCACATTGTCACCTAGTGAATGCCTGAGAGTAGGTATCTATCAATCACAAGTGGGGAACCAGACATTAATTTGAATAGATTCTCATTGACTAGACAGGACAACATAAGCATTAAAAATGACAATAATGATAGAATTGGGTGCTGTAGCTCACGTCTGTAATGCAAGATATTCAAGAGGCTGAGATCTGAGGATAGAGGTTCAAATCTGAGACACTTGTATCTCCAATTAACCACCAAAATGCTGAAAATGGAGGTGTGGTACAATGGTAGCACAAAAGCTAAGGGAAGCACACAGGCCACTAGTTCAAGCGCCCCCTCCCCCACAAAATTAAGTATAAAGTACTTGCTACATATACCTTCACATTAGAAAGTTAACGTGTCCATCCTTACTCTTTTATTTCCCTTCTAATGAAATTGCACTCTGCTCCCATTAACTGAAGAGAAAAAAAAAAGGAGCTTAAAACAATGACACTGGGTGTCCAGAGGCGCCTAGTTGAACTGCGCATGCTCAGTCGCCAGGCAGATTTGTCCACGGAGTGGAAACCACACCAGCGCGTACGGGGGCGGGACGGACATGGGCGTGGCCTCGTGGAATTTAGAACGGGGCCTCAGCCAATGGAGCCTCGCGTCCGGCGGCCGGAGCTCCTCATTGGAGGATCGGCAGGCGAGCGAGTGGAGGGCCGGGGGCGGGAGGGAGTCGCTGGGGTGCAGGTCGGGAGGCCGGGCTGCGCGGTGCCACGTGCGGGAGGGACCGGCGGACTGCACATCCAGGCGGCACCCGGCGGGGCGGCGGTGCCCGCGGACCCAGCCAGCGGCTTGTACTTTTCTCCCCCGACCACACAGTCATTATGCCGAAGAGAAAGGTAAGTCAGCCTAAAGGGAGAGCCGGGGAGAAGGCTGCTGCCCAGGCCTTCGGCGGTGCGCACGCACGGTTGGTCTGGTGGCGCGCGCGGGAGCAACTCGGGCCGGGCGCTCCCGGATGCCTGTTGCGGCCCTCGTCCGTCCCCGCTCCGCCCGTCCCCGCGTCCGTCCCCGGCGTCACGCCCGTCCCGGCCGGCCGCTCCCGGTTCGGGGGCCCGTCCTCCCCGGCACGGGGTCCGCGGCCTCCGCGGGGCCGGGTTCTCCGCCCCCTCCGCGGGAGGAGTTTCCTCCGCGCCAACTCCGGGCCCCGCGGGCGGCGGGGAGCGGGAAGGGGAGAGAAACGACGGGACGGGAGGCGGGCTAGCCGAGGTCGGGGTGACCCCGGAGCGGGGCCCGCGGGGGAGGGCGGGAGAGCCGCCCGGACCCCCACCCCGCGCCCACACCCTCCTCCCCGCGTCCGCCAGGCCGGGCCCGCGGCGCGGGACCTGGAGCGAGCAGGGCGCCGAGGGCGCGAGCGGGGCCGGGCTGGCCTCCGGGGTCGGCGGGGAGGCCGCGGGGCGGGCGCTCCGGGCCCCTCCAGCCTGCGAGCCCAGGGAGCCGGCTCGGAGTCTCGTCTTCCGCTCCCCTTCGGTGCTCCCGCGCGGGTACTGAGGACCGCGCGTGGGGTCCCAGATGTGGCTCAGGGTCGGGGTTTCGAGCAGGCAGTGACCCAGTCAGGGAAGGGCAGGGTCCCCAAGAAAATGGGGATCTCAAGTCAGCCAGGAGGAATATTCGATTGGAAGCATGATTGCAAATAATAATATTCTCTTTCATCAGAGACATGGTGGTGATGATGGTGGTGATGATGGTGGCGGTGGTGTTTGATTACATTATTTAAAAATATTGGAGGTTTAAAAATTCAGTACCATTTGCCTTCTTACTAAGAATTGGGGGCAAACATACCTTCTCCACTTATTTTTTTTTAAAGAAGGCATAGTAATTAAAGTATTTTTAATGCTTAGTATTTAATGTGTTCCTACTCTGCACCATATGACTTGGATTCTTTTATTCATGTCTCAGAATAGGTTGATCAAGGATGGAGTTCATAAGCACAAAAACTGCCTAAATCTCACCGACCATTAGTTAATAGCCAAGAAGCTGATGTGGCATATCCCAGAATCCTCTCCCAACTAGTCTTTGCTCCTCTTCCCTTGTGGAGGTGGTTGGAATTTAAGAATTAGGAAATAGGAAGGTGCTGGTGGCCTGAGAAGATGAGCCTTGAGACTCAATATTTAAACTTAATTTTGAAAGCCCTATCGTTTTTTTCTAGGGTGGTGGTTTTGGAACAAGGCTATTAAGGTGATGGCCTGATTTCCAGCGTTTTGTCAGAGGATACCTGGTGGGTTGGGAACTCTAGTGGAATCAGGAGCCAGTAAGTGATCAAGGTGTGAGTTAGAAGACAAGCCAACTAGTTCACGTTTTCATTCAGGTATGAACCTAGATGTAACACAACAACAATAAAAATGAGATAGAAGCACAATAAAGGGGGAAGCTGGGAGAGAACAGTGGGAAGAGAGAAAGGAGAAGATACTGAGAGGTAGCAGCAGCAGAGTGTACACACACAACATGAAAATAACAGTGAAATTCATTACTCTTTGAAAAAGGGGAATCCAAACGCAGGTATTAAAAGGTACAATGAGGAGATGAATCTGCTTGAAATACATTCTATGCCTCTGAGAATGTCCTGATGATGCCTCTTTATACCATTAACATATGCTAATAAAAATGAGTTACAGGGTGAGTTGGTGCTACTTCCCCTGCCCCAAGAATGATTACCTGTGTAGATAAACAGCAAATTAGATGTGTGTCCCTTATGTGCCAATAAGTAGACCTTGGCTTTTGAGGGCCATGCTGAGAAAACGCAGCATCCTCTGACAAAATGTGTTTTTGTGGCTAGCTGAGGGGGGATGGTGATCGCTCTCTGGTACATCCCTAGAAGGCCCATGGCTGCCTACCAAGAATCCTGGCCCTGGGGAACACCTAGGTACAGGCTCCTGTGTGTGCCCTTCAGGACTCCAATCATTCTTCCAAGAAGGAACTGTTTAATAGGAAGGCTTTATGCTCGTATCTGAAGCCCAGGGACCTGGGTTCTTCATCTGTCTTAGCTTTTGGAGTACCAAGAAACTACCAAAGCATTCATAGACGACTCCACAATGTTGTTTTCCTCGACTAAAGAACCACTCTTTGTGCATTATATACATCGCTTTCAAACTGCCACCCTTTGGCCCAGCACTGGTGGCTCACACCCGTAATCCCAGCTACTCAGGAGGCTGAGATATGAGGATCATGGTTCAAAGCCAGATGAAAGCCCATGAGATTATTCCTCTAGTGATCCATAAAAAAAGCCAAAAGTGGTATGCTAGCCTTGAGCAAAAAAGGTCAGGGATAGTGTTCAGGCCCCGATTTCCTGCCCTAGGACGGTCATGCATACATGCACACACATAGACTTCCCTTCATACCTTTTTTTTTTTTCATCTTAGCTTTTTTGTCTCACCTTTCCCTGGAAATCAAGAAATACTATTTAATTAGTTTCTAAGTTCTACAGAGCAAAAAGTGACAACAAAGTCAGGGAGATGTGGAATCCTGGCCCTGTTTTAAGGCTGTCAGGCCCCCACAGCTTGTTCTGCAGCTGTGTGCATGCTGTGAAGTATGTAGACTTGCATCACAAAGGCTGTGGGAGAGACAAGGAAATAGTTTGAGGTTGGGATAGTCCTGAAAGGTGGGAAGAACTCCCGTGCACAAAGAGAAAATCAGTCATGTTCTGTTTTCAGGTATTTGAATATCTCTAATCTAATTATATCTCAACATGACTAAATGTGTTACACAACTTCAAGGTCATAATGTCTTCCATATTGAAAACATTTTTATGTAAGATTATTTAGAACTGGTGATATGTATATGCATACACCCACAACTATACATGTGTTATATCTGTGTGTGTGATAGTTAAACCTGATTTTGTGTCCAGTATTGAGACTTGAACTCAGGGCCTGGCACTCGTGTGTCATTCTCCACTCAAGATTGAAGATCCACCATTTGAGCCACACCTCCACTTCTGGCCTTTTTTTTTTTTTTTGCTGGTTCATTGGAGATACTAGTCTCATGAACTTTCACCTTCCTGAGTAGCTAGGATTAAAAGCATGAGACACCAGTGTTCAGCTTAAATGTAACAATTTTTTTTATAAAGGAACTCTGTGTTAGGTTTTGAAGCACAATAGAACCTAGCATTGTGATCTGTTTTTGAGTTTGTAAAGGCTACAGTTGCATCTCCTTGGCTATAAACTGGGTAGGGAACGAGCAAAAGAGCAGGAAAAGGATGAATGGCAGAACAGTGAGTGGCTGAGTTCTAAGCTGTTCTGGTCACATGACCACTAGTGCCTGCAGTAGTCATGTTGTCTAGTGATGATCTAGTGTTTCACAAAGAAGCAGAGGCCAGGGAGGCCTGGGATCATTGGCTTGGCCTAAGAGCATCAGCGAACTGGTTTCCCCATCCTTTGTACTGTTCCTGTCCTTATCCTTGAAGCATTGTGCTAAGAAGGGGAGCACTTGTGGAATGTGTGTGTGTTGGAGAGACACACACAGTACACACAGTGTTGAGAGGTATAGACACTCTGAAGCAGTGTAGATAAGAATTTGCTTTATTTTTTAATCAGTTGTGGGGCTTGAACTCCTGCCTGAGCGCTGGCACTGAGCTGTTTTTGCTTCAAGCTAGTGCTCTACCACCTGAGCTACAGCACCACTTCTGGTTTTCTGGTGGTTAATTGCAGGTAAGAGTCTCACAGACTTTCCTGCCTGTGGTTGGCTTCAAACTGTGATCCTCAGATCTCAGCCTCCTGAGTCACAAGAATTACAGGTGTGAGTCACCAGTGCCCAACTAATTTTATACTTTTAGAGAATCATCTTCAAGTAATTGTAAAAAGAGGTAGACATTAATTTTTTTTTTTTTTTGTCGGTTGTGGGGCCTGAACTCTGGGTCTGGGCACTGTCCCTCAGCTCTTCAGCTCAAAGCTAGCACTCTACCACTTGAGCCACAGTGCCACTTCCAGTTTTTTCTGCTTATGTGGTGCTGAGGAATCGAACCCAGGGCCCCATGCATGCAAGGCAAGCACTGTACCACTGAGCCACCTTCCCAGCCCAGGCGTTAAATTTCTTTACCAGAAAAAGATTTACTGAAGATGATCTTAACTTACCATGAAGTCCATGTATACACTTCAGCTACATGCCCCTTGTGTCACTCCTGTAATCCTAGCTACTCAGAAAGCTGAGATGTGACAATTACGTGTGAAGCCACCCCGGGCAGACAAACTGGAGATGGCCACTTAACCAGCAAAAAGTGGGAAGTAGAGCTTTGGCTCAAGTGGTAAAGAGTGCCAGCCTTGAGAGAAACAGCCAAGTGAGAGTGTAGGACCCTCACTGTATCATTCAGTGGTGTGTAATAAATTAGGAAGTTGTTCAGGTACTCCCATAGTGTAGTTTCAGAGCTTTGTGGAAACCTCAACCTCGTGTTTATATCCAGCATCTACTACTGCATCTCTACCCCATAGCATACTGTTTTATTCTTAATTTTGTAGATTTGCCCTTTGGGAAATTTTACCAAAAAAAGTCTTGCTCAGTGTGTATTTTTTTGAGGTCCATATGGTAGCTTGTTATTAAATTCTTCGTGTGTGTTTGTGTGTGTGTGTGTGTGTGCGCGTGCGTGCACGTGCGTATGTGCACATGCGTGTGTGTGCACACATGTGCTAACACTGGAGCTTGAACTCAGGACCTCAAACTCTTACTTGGCTTTGTTGCTCAAGGCTGGCACTTTACCAGCTGAACCACAGCTCTACTTCTTTTTGGTGGTTAATTGGGTACAAGAATCTCTCATACTTGTTTGCCTATGCTAGCAGTGAATTAGGATCCTCAGATCGCAGCCTCCTGAGTAGCTAGGATTACAGGTGTGAGCCACTGGCTCCCAGCAGTA